GTATATTTTGTTTTACTTAGAAAAATTTTGCACAAACATTTTTTAAAATCATTCTCTTTAAGATGAGCACAACTTGTCTCGACACTTTTTTTAATCCATTTAATAAGTTAAATATTATTTGAATATTAACTCTATTTTTCTATGCGCTTTTCTACTTTAATTAAAGGTGGACCTGTACACGGCGTACCCAAAACTCTGTGAAGTTCGTAAGCTCTCGGAATGATAATTCTCAGAGTTTGCATTTTGGTATTTTACAGATTGGGCGCTAAAATATTAGTTACTTAATTGCATGCCATAATGGTAACGTTGTTGAAAATAATAAAAACAAAAAGTTTGCGTAAAATGCATTTTAATAAAAATGTAATATTTTAAAAATCTGAAGTTTAAAAATACAAATTATCAACATATATAAATTCAAATCTTATTCACTCTGTTTAATACTTAATTTATAAATGAAAAATTAAATATTATAACAATTTATAATAAAATCAGTTTTTTTAACATATTTTGTTTAGAAGATACTTTAAGTAGATAATAAAGTATCTTCTTAATGATTATCTTCTTAACAAGGGTCTTCTTATAACTCAACATGTTAAAATACATTTTTGTATTTTTGAAATCGTAAAAAGATTCAGAGTTTGTTATGGTATGATAATAATCAAAGGTGTTTATATGAAAAAGGACCGAGTTATGGTCACTTGTACTAATTAGACACTCAACAGAAAAAATACTTAATAGGGAAATGATATTTGAAAGAACAAGTTCAAGAATACTATTTTCATGAGTAGGTTCCAGTACATATTGGTGTATTTCAAGACTGTTTACTAAAGTTAAAAAATGATTATGACATTTTTCATTTGGGGAAACTTAGTTAACCCAATCAATTTTCGGTGAGTTAAAATCTCCAACAATGACAAATTGGGGAACAGATTCCTGAGATTGCTATTTAATGATATCATCGATTCAAGATAGATATAATCATCAAGAGAATAGGACGATGGACAGTAACAAGTAATTAAGTGGAATTTACTAGACCCAAATATTAAATCAACACAAATGATATCAATATCTGTGTCAGTTTGAGTAATACTTACTATGGCAGATTTAACATCATTTTTGCAGTATATATTCCACCACTGCCAATTTGTATCTGGTCCTTATGATAAATGAAAACTTTTTTGGACAGACCATGGAGTTCATGAGTTTATAATTGAAAAAAGTTTCACAAACACAAATTAAGGTAGGTTTGTTGGATTCAACGTATAAAAAATATTGTTAGGTTTGGCAAGACTTCTTGTGTTGAAAAGTTAAACTGTAAAATTTAAATCAATTATGGTTAAGTGAAAACTTGTGTTTATAAAGTCACTACGTTTTTAACTGATAACCTTTTAAATGCATTTGTTGTTTACAGCAATAAGGCGTTGTTTGCTAATTTATCTTGACCAGCTTTATATACATTAAACTCGGTTGATTGGACATTTACCATGTTTGTAATAAATATTTTAATTAAATTTTATTTTTACTCAACTTAAATTGAAGTTAAACTTGTTGAACTTAAGCAATCTGATGTTATCAGTTTGAGCTTCTTAAACTTAGTTTATATATGCTTTATTTCCGTAATAAACAATTAGCTTGTTTTTAAATTTAAAAATGCTTTTTATTAATTACAAAAAATGAACTAACTATAATTTTTAACAAATTTGTTAAATATTGGAGTTATTATTTTATAACATGAAATAATTAAAAAGCTTGACTATTAACCTATTGTTTGTTGTTGTTTGCTTTTGCTTCTGTGTTTTTGTTCGGTCTTCATTAACCAATGGAATCACATTTCTGTGGGCGGTAAATCAAGAAATTCAAGAAACACCATCTTTCTTAATAAAACTTTTTCCATTAATATTATTCCATTTATATTATTGTAAAGCAACTCTTACGACTCTTCTAGTATATTATCTTTTTGAAGTCATTTTTATATGAATATATGATTATTTATATGATTATTTACATAATAAATAATTTTTACAACATAGTAATTCCCATCTCTTCAACAGTTTCTGTACAAAAGATTTCTGATACATTCCACTTTTCAAAAGTAGTTCTATTTTTTTATGCGTTATTATCCATTTGATATTTTATTTATTTTAAAGTGTAGTTGTTAAAGGTTTAATACTAAATTTGTTTAATACCATTGTAAATTTATGAACCCTTATAAAAAATAAATAAAAAAACGCTGTAAAGAAATACAAATAACTATCAATAACCAGAAGAATTAATCGTGTCTCTATCCTCTATTGTTTGATTTAGATTAAGTCTGAGAAACAAATTTACCAAAAACAAAAACGTGTCTTTCTTTTCTTGCTTAATGTGGCACACATTGAATTTCTTGTGTGTGGCAGTTAGTTCCAGTAAAATGTTACTTGTTAGTAATAAGCAATACAACATTTCCTCATAATCGAAGAAACATAAATAAAAGAATTGAATTGCATGGAAAAAATGTTTATAAATAAGAAAAAACAGTTATGTTAAATATTATTTACTATTTTTCTTAGAGGTTGTTCTCTTACACATGTTGTTACTAATTCATTTATTAATATCAAGGGGCAAATTAACTCAAATTTACCAGATCAAGAAAATTTTTAAAACAAAAAACAAAAAACTTACTGCAAATAAAATAGCAAAAATTTTTATGACTATTATAAATATTATTTTAAATATTATTCATATAAAACAGATTTTAATCCAGGTAATACAGAATAAAAATACTTATGTTAGAAGCCAAAATTGAAATAAAAAAAATTTAGTAAATAAAAGGTCATTAGTACTTAAATCAACTTCAAAAACAAATACAACTTAAAATGAACTTAAAAGAAAAGTATTACTTGGTGATAAACGTGGTCCAGAAAGTTTAAGCGTTAGTTTTAAAATTAGCATCTTCCAACCTGACCGACAAATAATCAAAAGTCAATCAAATTCGTCTTACTAGTCTACTTTCTATCAACATCGTTTTAAAACACGAAAAAACCTTTTTGAATTAAAACTTTCACTCACAATCGCCCCTTCAACAAATGTTTACAATTTCATTCCATTTCACAGTTTTTATTAGTGGTTTAAAAATAATAATATTAAAAAAATAATAACAATTTCTTTTTTAACATTTTGACTTTAAAAAATCTATTCATAAACTAGTTAATTATTTCTAATTCATTCTATGGTTAATCTAGAAAAACTTTTGATAAAAAAAAAATTTCAAAACTAAAAAAATCATCTTTTCATGAATTTGTTATATAAAGTTAAATAAAAAAAATTCTCTAAAATATTTTTTCATACAAACTTGATTATAGTTTATCTGGCAATGCATAAATATATAGTTATAAGTGCATTAAGCACTTTTGTATATAGCACTTTTGTAACAGTATGAAAAAAAATTATTAATATGAAATTATAAATAAACATAATAGTTATTTGTACAGTTAAAAAACAAACATAAAAACTAACACAAATTAAATTTACTAAAAAGAGTTTTCTTTTCTTTAACATAATTTAGAAATTTTAACAGTAAAAATAAAAATTTTAAACGGAGCGTTTTGGTTTTTAAAAAAATTTAAATCAACTTTAATGAAATAAATTTAAATTTATTACTATTTAATAATAAACTTAATTTAAATATAATAAAATAAATGAAAAAAAAAAAAAATTGAAAACTTTTTAAAAACGGTAAAAAAAAAATTTAACTATCTGCTTTTTTTTATCCAAAAAAAAAAAAAAAAAAAATTATTGAGGCTAATATGTTTTTTACAACAATTAATTACAGCTTAATTTTTTCTGCATAAACTATTCTAAATTAAGTAGACTGATTAAAAAAAGTTTTTGCGTAACGTCAATTATTACTTTACGCATTCGTGAAATCACTATTTTGTATGTAAAATCAAAGTGGCGTAACGTTCTTAACAAGGCCTAGAATCATCTTCTTTTGGAACATGATTTAGTAACATTTTAAATTATTTTTAATAAAAACTTAGTTATAAACTAAGTTATAAACTAAGTTATAAACTGATAAATTTGAATAAAATTAGTTATTAACTAAGTTATAATAAAAATTTGTTTTGTTGTATATTGACTTGACACTTAAACTATTATAAAAAAGATCTTTTGAGCTTTTGATATACCGAAGTTTTCTAATAAAAAACCAAGATTTTATGAGCTTTTGATATACCTAAGTTTTCTAATAAAAATGTGATGTTTACATTTTTGTAAGAAAAAATTTAAAAAATAATTTGTATGTAATTAAGTTTTTAATTGAAGTAAAATTAAATTAAAAAATATTAAAATTAAATTGAAAAATATTAAAATTAAAATTAATATATAGTTATATCTAGTGTTTTTAAAAATTTAACACTTAGTTACATTTATTACAAAAATTTAATACTTAGTTACATTTATTACAAAAATTTAATACTTAGTTACATTTATTACAAAAATTTAATACTTAGTTACATTTATTACAAAAATTTAATACTTAGTTACATTTATTACAAAAATTTAATACTTAGTTACATTTATTACAAAAATTTAATACTTAGTTACATTTATTACAAAAATTTAATACTTAGTTACATTTATTACAAAAATTTAATACTTAGTTACATTTATTACAAAAATTTAATACTTAGTTACATTTATTACAAAAATTTAATACTTAGTTACATTTATTACAAAAATTTAATACTTAGTTACATTTATTACAAAAATTTAATACTTAGTTACATTTATTACAAAAATTTAATACTTAGTTAGATTTATTGCAAAAATTTAATACTTAGTTACATTTATTACAAAAATTTAATACTTAGTTACATTTATTACAAAAATTTAATACTTAGTTAGATTTATTGCAAAAATTTAATACTTAGTTAGATTTTAGAATCATAATTATAATTAAAATTTTTATTAAATATTTTTGTTTTTATAATAAATTAATTGAGAAAAATATTTTTTTTAAGCTGATGAAGTTCAAGATTGGAAAAATAATGCTAAAGTGCCAATAAGCAAATTAAGTGACAAAAGCAAAATTGAAAAAAGTCTTCCTATTTTTACAAGTGATAGCAAATTATCTCATTCATTGAGTAAGTGCCATTTAGTAATATATATTAAAATATTTTAAATAAGAAAATTAAAGAAATAGAAATTTTAATTTAGAGGTTCCTGAACAACATAAACATGATCTTAGTATAAAAAGAAAGGTATATTTTGATCATTTCAAAATAAAAATTATTACTGTTTAAAAAATAAACTTACATTTATTTACTATTTTTATGACAGGGAAAAAACTACAGAGGAATATCTACAAAATAATTTTATGATAGGGAAATAACTACAGAGTAATATATACAAAATATTTCTATGATAGTGAAAAAACTATGGAGGAATATTTATAAAATAATTTTATGATAGGGAAAAAACTACAGGGGAATATCTACAAAATAATTTTATGATTGGGAAAAAAACTACAGAGGAATATCTACAAAATATTTTTATGGTAGGGAAAAAACTACAGAGGAATATCTGCATAATATTTTTTATGATAGGGTAAAAACTACAGAAGAGTATCTACAAAACATTTTTATGATAGGAAAAAACTACAGAGGAGTATCTATGAAATATTTAACACTTTGATCCTGGTAGTACCATGCTCAACTTGTTTCTCTGTGCAGCAACGTTTGTCAACATTGTTGTTATATAATCTCATCTTTATGTACATGTAGATGAGATAATACAATTTATAGTCTTTTAAGTTTTTTGTCAACTGCATTCTTGCTCTTCTTTATTTTCTGTTAACTCCCAACTTAATTAGTGGTTACTAATTAGTAGCCTAACTGTGATTAAGTTTGTTTGAAAAAATAAAAATAAATGATTTTGATTAAAATTTTTGAATTAAAAAAAAAAAAATTGTACAAAATTAGGTTTAAAAACAAAAAATAACTTTTATAAACCTTTTTTTTATTTACAATTTTATTCCGTAAGTTATTATATTATTTAGTTTTTATAAGAAAATGATTTGCGACTTTTGTATTTCACTTTTGTACTGACTGAAAAATTGTATAAAGTTTATTTATAGTAATTATGATGAAATTATGAAATTACAAAATATACGGTGGTAAACCACTCCGAGCCATATTATAAATTTACTATTTAAAGAATATTTATGTTGAATTTGTTTTTAGTTAATTAATAAAATTACTATAATGAAATGTTTGTTATTATTAAATTTTAATATTATATTAAATTTTTATTTAGGATAACAAGCCACCAAATTTGGTACAAAACTCAGAAGTAAATGACGAGTTAGATATAAACCCAAAAGCCAAAACTAAAAAGATTAGGTTAATATTTTTGATTCTATTATTTGAGTTAAATCACTTGAAATATATATTGAAGTTGTAATACAGTAATATTAAAAGTTGAACAAGGACCCAATTCCTTTTTAAATATTTTTTATAACTTATCATAATATTATCATTATCATGAATATTTCTTTTGAATATATATATATATATATATATATATATATATATATATATATATATATATATATATATATATATATATATATATATATATATATTAGGGCTGTCCAAAAAAATTTTTTTTTTCAGATTTGATTGCATAGTTGTTTATTTTGTGCCATTTGACATATTAATTAACTGTGCAAAAAATCTTTCCGATCAGATAATGTTTAGGGGGTGCTCAATGACCATAAAGTTTTACGAAAAATGTGAAAAACATGGAAAAAGTAACAAAGTTCCACAAATTTCTAAAACCCGGTTAATTAGATTTTTCAGATTTGATCAGTTTTAATTATCTCTAAATATTAAATTCTGAATACAAATTACAATCCACATCCACTTTATACTGGTTTATTAGCAGAGAAATTAATGAAATAAAATACTGCAATACGACTAAAGTTCTGCGGTTTTTGTTATATCAGAATTTTTCCAAAATAAAACACTAAGATTTTTGACTCTTTGTCATTGATTAAAATACGAATTATAAACAAAAAACAATTAACATTTAATTATCGTAATAAAATGTTAATTGCTCATCGTAACATCGTAATTAAAGCCACAGATCGTTCGGCAGCATCATTTACTACTTTCAATGAATATACTAAATTTTTTCCTTCTTGGTATTCTGGGGAATCATTCCAGGTAGCTGGATCGTTGTTGAACAGAAAATCAATATCAACCTTCATTGACCGCAACGCACTTGCTGAAACTGATGTTACCAGCATGTCCAGAGATTTCTTCTCTAGACTTTCAATGTTCTTTAATTTGATCAACCTTTCAGACCAGTTCTCACCGTGAAATTTCATGTTGGAAATCATTTTTCGCTTCTCTTCCATTTTAAGTTTGTTTGAAAACAAAGCTAGTGGGACCAATTCTGGTGAAAGGTACCACAAATGGTTTTGAAATTTCTTGACTGCTGCTTCGGAAATCGTTTTATTCACAACTGCAAACTGCTTAAGTTGCTGAAACAGAAACAAGTCATTAACTGGAGCATCGCTGGCATTTGGGCATGATATCCAAGATTTTACATAAACCAGACTAGCAAATAAGCAAAATTCACAGAGATTTTTTTCCTCTTTTGTGGTCAACTTGAACTCTTCACGAAATAAATAAATCTTAAAACAATAAATAACCTTGGCCATCCAGCGAGCCATGTGATAAGCACCAGGGATCTTGAAATGATAATTTTTCTCTTCTTGATCAGGCAGTTTTCCAAGTATTAACAGACAGAGATCCATGATTTCTTTGTAGTTATCCCTTGGCATTTTAACATGCAGGTTTTCTTTGAGGAATGCCATCACTTCATTTTGTAGTTCTTGCACCAGGGGTATTTTCATTCGAATGTCATCCAGAGGTTTAAAATTTCCTTGATTAACTTTGGGCCAATATTGCTGAAATCTCTGGAAAAGAGGTATGTTGGGACCAGATGATGGTCCAAATAGTGATCCAAACACTCCTGCTACTATGATCTCATGAACATGGTGTCTGCAAGCAAAATATAACAAATTTCTACCTATATGTTTCTCTAGAACTACACATGCACCATTTTCGGAGCCAGTGTTAGAGGCTGTAGTATCAAAACTCATTCCAATAACATCACCAATTATGTCCCAGAAATTAAGCAGATGAATAACTGCTTTTGCTTGGGCTTCTCCAGTTCCAGCTGATAGTTTTGCTATTCCAAGTATTTTGTCAACATTGCGACCTGTCACACCTACAGATAGCCGGTCAACATTTGCTTTAGGGTCTGCAGAATTTGTACGATCTATCATCAGTTTGCCATCCCAGTGGACGATTAATGGTGGTTTGTCCAAATCGCAGAATTCAGTTCGAACAGTGGCTTCAATGTTTGATCGATGATAGGTTCGTTTTCTACGGACTGTAGAATGTGACAATGATCCATCATCGAGGTTCTGTCCACCAGCCCTTGCAATTGCTGCTGCTAGTATAGTAAATTTTGTGTCAGATAGATTAATTCTGTCTAATGTTGATGAAACATCAGGCGAGTCAAGAATTGTATCTAAGATACATTGTCGTTTTGGAGTACTTGCTAAACTTGATTCAGCTGACCCTGAAGAACTTGCTTTACTGACTTGTTGTCTGTAATAAACAGGGATTTCTATCTCAAAATCTCTATCAACCATTTTGTCATTATCAACAGCATCGTTATCGTTGTCATCACTATAACTTTTGTCATGTAAAGGTTCAATAACAGGAACTATTGCACTCGCACCAGATTGTCTTTGCTCTTCTTTTAGCTTTCGTTCTCTCTCTGCTTGTTTCCTTGCTTCATTTCTTGCTTCTAATTTTGAAAGTTCTTTGTCCTCTCCAAACATCACCATTTTTCTCTGACATCTCTGATCCAATAAAAATTCTTTATCTTCTTCAATTCTGATCATGGTTTCAGCATCCTTGTGGGCAATGTCAAAAAGTAGGCCAATGGTGTCTGTAAATGATTTCTCTCTTGATTTCTGAGAATCTGACAATCTGGATTTATTTTTTTTTATTAATTTAAATTCCTGGACTAAAGTTTTCAACTTTAAGACTACATTCGGATGAAATGCTGTCGGAATACGGGCTTTATTACAAATAATAATCAGTTCATCAACAGTTGTTTTAAGACTTTCAGGCACTGACTTTTTGGTTGAATTAAGATGATAAAAAAATGTTTTTAAAACATCAGATGTTAAGGGAAGAACTTTATCTGGAAGATTTGGCTCTGGTTGTCCAATTAAAAAGATTTCGGTTTGAAGTCGTGTAGAGATAGCAACACGAGATGATGCTGCCATTTCAATGATAACTGAAAAATTATGAGAAAATCAAAACTCAATACCATATTATACAAACTTATCATTCAGTTGTTGGTTTATGCAGCTGCAGCAATATATAATAATAATTATTACTAAAGAAATTAAATAAATATTTTCAAATTAGAAATTATTATTATCTGCACTTAATAACAAACAATACACTACCAGACTACCATGCTAGTTTTCTGTAATAGGTTACTAAGGTTAGGTACTATCAAAATATTAATACATTTGTTGTCAAACTGAAATTCCAAATAAAAATAATATTTATACTTGTAAACCTTTTTATTCTGTTTGAACAAATTCTAAATTGAGTTAAATAATAGTATTAAAATTATGAATACAAATTTTAACAAAATGATATAAACACAGTTGTTTTAAACACTAGCAGACATTTTTTAGTCTGGTGCCCTGATGACAGTTAATCTGCTGCACTTTAATTAATCTATATAGCACGCAATCAGACAATATTTCAGTGGAAAAAATCTAACTAACCAGGTTCTAGAAATTTTTGGAACTTTGGAACTTTTTCCACGTTTTTGATGTTTTTCGTAAAACTTTATGGTCATTGAGCACCCCCTAAACATTATCTGATTGGAAAGATTTTTTACACAGTCAATTACTATGTCAAATGGCACAAAATAAACAACAATGCATTCAAATCCGAGAAAAATTTTTTTTTCCTGTGTTCACATGAACAGCCCTAATATATATAAATATATATATATATATATATATATATATATATATATATATATATATATATATATATATATATATATATATATATATATATATATATATATATATATATATATATATATATATATATATATATATATATTATTCTATTTTCATCTTTTGATACTGGAGACTATATAATGTTATTATTATGTCAGAATTTTAAAATAAAATAAATTCTTGGTAACCAAAACCAGCCAAAGTGTGCATGTATTATTAAGGTACATTGAATGCCCTGTTAACCAGTTCTCGACTGCCAACATCAATACTTTTTATGGGTTGTTTAATATATCACATCAAAACTGAAAGGCAAGAAAGCCACACCAGATTTCAAAGTGCTAAAATGGTACTAGCTCAGATTGTCATCTTTTATTGAAAAGCTAATATTCCAATGATTCGTGTAATTAAATCATATCAGAAGCTTCCAAAACTTTTCTATTTGTTGAACTTAAAAGTTCAACAAATAGAAAAGACACTGTTTAAGACATTTGCACTCTGACCCAATAATGTTGGATGAAAACTGGTTTTGTGTCAACATTCGGTTCTCATTATAAATTGTTGTCCTCAAAAGTTAAACTTTGTGAAAAAAGAATGAGGTTGTGTCAAATGAACTGAACTCTACAATGTGAAAGTATTGTGTCAAATGAACTGAACACTACAATGTAAAAGTATTGTGTCAAAAGAACACAACAGCAAGATTGAAGATGACTACTACACAACAAGCTGTATACTCTGCTGTGGTTATTGCAGAGGCTGGAGAAGACTGATCCAAGGTCAGAGATGTAACATTGTAACATTGGAAGTGCTTTCTTCATAATAATGTTGTGATTCAGTGGTAAACATAACATTCGATACTACATCAAAAAACACTAGACACATGACAGCAACATGATAATCAGTCCACAACTTCAGATGTTGTGGACTGATTATCTTGATTTGGTAGAAGTGATTTTAATGGAACATTTTCAGTCTTCGAATTAGTGTTCTTGAACATTTACATCACCTCTTGTACAAAGATAATTATTTGGAATCTGAACTCTGCATAGTTTTTCTTGATACTGAAGAAGCAGGATAGACTTGAAAGCAAATTACATTTTAGCGACCTGGAACACTTCTCAAAGAACACAGATGGCATAACTAATCTATGAACACAGATGGCATGAGATGAAAATTCTTCAGAAAACAGACATCTGTTTTCTCCAGAAAACAGATGGCTGTTTTCTGAAGAATTGTTTTTTATTGCTAAAAATCAATGTAAAAAGATTT